AGATATGGGAACATATGTATATGTATAACTGATTCAATTTGTTATAAAGCAGAAACTAACACACCATTGTAAAGCAATTATACTCTAATAAAGATGTAAAAAAAAAAAGTATTGCTGAAAGATTGAATTTCCATATTTGATAGCTCTCCTTTATAAAAAAGACAAAACCCAGTATCATAGTGGTAGGATAAAAGCTATGTGCTCTAGTGTATCTGGTATTTTATCTTTATGTTAAATAGGTTTTACCATTTTATGTTTGGTAATTTTACTTAGTAATGGCTTTATCAATGATATATATTTTAACAGCCTAGTTATTAATGATATTATCTGATAGCAGTATGCTATTCTCTGTTGACTTGTATGTTTTCCCCTGGCTCTCAGTGGTTGTCAATGGAGAGGACCTGAGTAAAATATATCACAGATTATAACTTTAATATCATACATAATTGTTTGCATTCTTTTCAGTGTCTTAATTCTTTCCCAGACTTCAGTTGTCTTTGAGCTCACATTTATTGTTTCTCTTAATTTGTTTAAGAAGTACACATAGTCATTGACCTAGTGGTTAGTACTTCCCTGAGAACTCACTCTATCATGTAGTTACAAAAATTCTCACCATAAAATTATTTATAATGATAAATTGAAGACCATATAAATGTTATAGGTAAGCTTATTAGTTCATTAAATGTGTTTTATCCATAAATGTGATATGTAGTCATTAAAAAAGATAGTGTTGAGCTGTTTTTATTAACATATACATATATCTATGATTTTTTTTTTTTTTTTTTGGCCCCACCATGTGGCTTGTGGGATCTTAGTTCCCCAACCAGGGATTGAACCTGGGCCCCCGGCATTGAAAGTGCAGAGTCCTAACCACTGGGCTGCCAGGGAATTCCCAATATACCTATGATTTTTTTAATGAAAAAAGCAGGTTACAAGGAAGCACGTACAATATAATCTCATTTTTGTGGAGGAAAAATTAGATACTTGTATGTTTATAGGAAAAAAGTCTGAAGAATCCTATCCAAAATCAGAGAGCCAGATTAGCAGTCTTAGTTTGTGTCCAAGTCCGCTAGTAATTTTCCGGATCTTCATTTGTTTTGGTACCACTAACTGTAACTGTTAATTCTGGCTCCTGGGAAAGCCTCTGTCTTGTCCTGGGTATAAATAAATCACCTCTCCCCTTAGTTCAACAAAAGAAAAAGGCTGGAGCTTTTTTTAAAGGAACTTTTCTGGGAAAATAAACAAGTCACAGTGAAAGCATAGAAACCAAAGTGTTTACAGAACACACATTACTTTTTCCTACCCACCAAAACTAGCTTAGCTGATGCAGTTTATGGCACTCTAAAGTCCTTGTGGCAATTCTTTACCCAGATCTTTCTAGCCAAACCTAGTAAGTTGGAAGTTTTGATTCAGTACTACCACTTAGGAATGCTGTAGAAGAAAATGGGATGACAAAGAAAAATGTATATAAAATATTAAATAAAAAATTAGATTATAAAATAGTATATATGATGGTATCCTAATTTTGTTTATGGTATATGGTGTAATGTACAGAAAAAAACAAACAAAACAGATAATCTTGAAATGGTAGCAGTGGTTATCTTTAAGTGGTAGAATTACAGCTCATTTTAAATTTCTTTCTGGTTCTCTATTTTTCTAAATTTTTACAGAAATGTAGTAATTCACGTCAAACTTATAAGGCTCCAGATTACCACAGTCACGTCCTCAGGTTCCTCCTTGGTGGATTCAACCAGCCTCAGATTGTATACTATATTTGCACTGCGTGGTTGTTTGAATCCCCAGATGCAGAACCATGGATAAGGAAGACTGACTAAGGGACTTGAGCATGGGGGTGGGGTCGGGTGTCCTGGAACCAGTCCCCCATGGATGTCAAGGCTTGACTGTATAGTTTCTGCTACAGACATGCCGTGTTTTATTGTGCTTAGCTTTACAGTACTTCACAGATCGTGTTTTTTACAAATTGAAGGTTTGTGGCAATCCTGTGTCAAGCAAATCTATCAGTGCCATTTTCCCAACAACATTTGCTCTTTTCATTGTCTCTGTGTCACATTTTGGTAATTCTTGCAATATTTCAAACCTTCCACCAGCAAAAAGATTACGACTTGCTAAAGGCTCAGGTAATGTTTAGTATTTTTTAACAATGAAGTATTTTTAAATTAAGGTGTGTACACATTGATTTTTAGACATAATTCTACTGTACCCTTAATAGACTACTGTATAGTGTAAACATTACTTTTATATGCACTGGGAAACCAAAAAAATGCATGCAACTCACTTTATCGTGATATTCACTTTATTGCAGTGGTCTAGAACTGAACCTGCAATATCAAAGGTATGCCTGTATATCAGTTCTAAACTCCTCTGGATGTTTTATAAAGGCTCTTTCTTTTTTTTTTTTTTTTTGGCTGCACCACATGGCATGTGGGATCTTAGTTGCCCAACCAGGGATCGAACCCATATATAAAGGCTCTTTTTAATCCAGCTTTTTCTACCTATCTAAATCTTCATAGTTTTGCCTCTGAATAGTCACCTTGTTCTTGGGCAGGAGACATTATTAAATAAAGCTAAGAACATGTATGATCACTTCCTGTTTAGTATTGAAAGTACCCTCTCTTGTCTTTTGGTTTATGTAGTACTGGAGCCAGCTAGGGTCCAACAGTGATCCACAAGTTTGTACATTGTGACTGACTTCTCTTTCCAGTATATCTACCAGATGCTTAGTTGTCCTCAGAGTCTGTTAGCAAATCAAAATGGTGTTAAACCTGGGAAAGTACTGCTCTTTAAAGATGTTAGCTGATGGTTGTTATTTAGCTGTCTTATGTGCATTGGTGGGTGTTGGGCATTGCAGCTGGCAATACAAACAAGGAAATGGGGGAACACAGTAAGATATAGAAAACCTCAACTTTCTGTAAATTTGAATGGGTTGCTTTCTTAGAGTGAATTTTAAACTTCTTGGGTCCTTAAGTTTAGAAATCTGTATAATAATAAATGAAATACAGTCACTGAAATAAACTTTGAGGATTATAAAAATAACCCAAGTATACTAGTTAGGACTGACGAGGCTGTTATTTATTAACAAATAATCCCCAAATTGCAATTGCTTAAAGCAATAAAGTTTCATTTATTGTTCACATTACAGACTGATGCAGGTTGCATGATTCTCTTTGCAGCTCTCTCTAAGCAGTGTCCTCTTCCATTATTTGATGCCACTATCTTCATATGTAGCCTCCTAATTTGTGACAGAAGGGAAGAGAGATTGTAGGTGATTTGCACAGAAGATTTTATTGGCATAGTTGGAAGTGGCTCATTCTGTTTCACTTACATTCTTAGGGTTAGAACCTAGTTTCGTGGCACATAAAAGTAAGGAAGGCTTATCTTCCTCTGTGCCTAGGAAAAATATAATGAAATGGGGTCACAAAGCATCGTGTCTGCCACACCAGAGTTTTAGAAGAATAAAATGTGCCACTAACCATATCTTATAGATGGGCTCTCTATTTTTTTTCTCTTTATCTGTTTGTCTTCTCTCTAGTTTCCTTCTTGCTCTCTGTCTTTCTGTCACATTAAGCTGCCCAAGGTTGCAATGGAGTGAGTGAAAAATGATCTCTCTCCCTATTGCCTTTATTTCTTAAGGGAGAAGCAAGTCCCAACTCTAAGTAAGTACATCTTGGCTAGTAAAGCTTTTTGTACAAAACTTAAAAATTCCCTTTTCAGGAACCCTCTTGCACTGCTGGTGGGAATGTAAATTGATACAGCCACTATGGAAAACAGTATGGAGGTTCCTTAAAAAACTACAAATAGAACTACCATACGACCCAGCAATCCCACTACTGGGCATATACCCTGAGAAAACCATAATTCAAAAAGAGTCATGTACCAGAATGTTCATTGCAGCTCGATTTACAATAGCCAGGATATGGAAGCAACCTAAGTGTCCATCATCGGATGAATGGATAAAGAAGATGTGGCGCATATATACAAAGGATTATTACTCAGCCATAAAAAGAAACAAAATTGAGTTATTTGTAGTGAGGTGGATGGACCTAGAGACTGTCATACAGAGTGAAGTAAGTCAGAGAAAAACAAATACCATGTGCTAACACATATATATGGAATCTAAGGGAAAAAAAAGGTCATGAAGAACCTAGGGGTAAGATGGGAATAAAGACACAGACCTACTAGAGAATGGACTTGAGGATATGGGGAAGGGGAAGGGGAAGCTGTGACAAAGTGAGAGAGTGGCATGGACATATATACACTACCAAACGTAAAATAGATAGCTAGTGGGAAGCAGCCACATGGCACAGGGAGATCAGCTCGGTGCTTGTGACCACCTAGAGGGGTGGGATAGGGAGGGTGGGAGGAAGGGAGACCCAAGAGGGAAGAGATATGGGAACATATGTATATGTATAACTGATTCACTTTGTTATAGAGCAGAAACTAACACACCATTGTAAAGCAATTATACTCCATTAAAGATGTTAAAAAAGAATTCCCTTTTCAAAACTAAAATCTGAACTTCTTGAATCAGTCATATTTAGTTTTTATTTAAAATCTGAGCAGCTTAGAGTAGCATATTCTCATAGCTTTGCCTAATCTATAAATGTCAATTTTTATTTATACCATCCATATAAAAAGGTCTCACTGTATCTGAAGAGATTCATTTATTTATTCATTCATCAAATTTTAATTGAGCTCCTGTTATATGCCAGGCACTATTCTAGGTATTGGGGATATAGTGATGAACAAGACAGAACTCCTATCTTGTATTCTGGTCAGATTTATTGATCATCAAAATCTGTGATGGATGGTGCAGTATATCAATTAGTAACCATAAATTAATTAGTTAATATGCCAACTATAAGGATTACAAAATTAGAGTAAGCATCATAGGATTAGTGCAATGTAAACAGATTCATGGTGGTTGGTATTTAGAAACCGTAATATCACGGGGAATAATATGGATCTGTTTTTAATTTTAGCTTTAAAGAAACCCCCTGTTTCCTTTTCTCAATATGAAAGTCATCAAGTAGTCTCCCATCTTCCAACTGGACAACCTTTCTCCCCAAATATGGTTCCAGGTATGAAGTCTTATTCTTAAAATTCCATTTGAAAATCAATTTTCTGGTCATGTATTGTTACATAGTGAATAAAACATGTCATTTAGCAGCACAGTGAAGTATCATTCATTATTCTAGTTAACTTTGTATATTATCAAATGACTGATAAAAGCTCAGGGAGAGATCATTACAAAATGAACTTTGTCTACTGGACTATTAAGAGTGGAAGAATTATTTGTTTTGCCACTCTGGACTACGTTCCCTTTCATCACTACCAGTATATATGTATTTACCTTCTCCAAAATGTGTTCAAGTTTATCTCACAGAGGCCTTCTATAAAATGAGATCCACCTGTATTAAACTCCCTACTCTGTACTTATCTGTGTGTTTTCTACTGAATACCTACTCAATTTTACAGAAATGTTCCCCTAAAATGAGAATTGATATGCTTAAAATTAATTGTAATAAAGATCTAAATCGAGGCTTTGATGAGTTAAAAAGGGAGGTGGGGAAAGAAAAGTTATATCCAGGAGATACTAATAAGAAAGAATCAAGAGTTAACAGTTATGTCGCTGTGTAAATGAAAATGACTTCAAGATTAGAAATTCTAAAAGCCTTATTGGATTTTGGAGATTTCTGACAGCAATATAGAATTTGAAGGGAAGAAAAGTTACAGGTATCACTGCCATTTTATTCTTTGGGTTTCTACTATTGATATATATTCCATTGATGAATAGGTTTATAATCAATGCTAAAGATACCCTCCTGGGAATGATTAGTAAACTTCACACAACTAAAATCACATTGGTTATAAGATTTGATTAAAGAAATAAAATAAAGCTTTTAAAAAAAGCTACCTGACTACCCAGTATCAGATAACAGTGTCTTACCTTTTCTCAGGTACGTCTTATGAAATTCTTCTGCAAAATATGACCTTAATTTGATGTTTTTATGCCATAGATTCTCATGTAAACCACAATGGAAACCCCAGAACTTCAAAACAGAAGCCTTCCAATCCTCTTCAGCATTTAATTCCAGGCCCTAACTTGGAGAGTGAACCCAGAATTCAAGCATATATTCTAAAGCAGGCTACTAAGGATCGAGCCGGTGATCTCCATAAATTGAAGCAAAGTAAGAATCAGTTGATGAATATTATGCTGAAAAGATTTCTTTAAATATAATATATTTATTTACAAGTCTGAATTAAGGTCTACATTATTATAATCTCTAACTAATGGATGTATAGTGAAGTTATATACATACAAAGAGAAAGTACGACAGTTGTAAAATTTAAAAAGAAAAGTAGGTTTTAAATGGATAGAGATATTTTAAAGAACACTTTCAAAAACTTCTCTTGTTCTCCAGTGTTAAAAAATAAATTTCAGGTGAGTTGATTTTAAAAAATGCTATTAGTTCTTATGAATGTAAAATTTTTCTGAGAAGTGAGGCAAGATATATTTTCTTAGGCTAATATATGAAAACTTTGATTAGAAAGGAGGGAAGATAAAGAGTTTTGAAAAATGAGTTCTGGAAGAAATAAAGACTGCCATGGTAGAAAGTTCAATGCTGTTTCCTTTTCCATTCCCTCCAATTGCAGTTTGCTTCATTTAGGTGCTAGAAGTGAAAGAAATTGAACAAACTCATAATACTGTGTAATAATGTTTGACTGCTTAATTGTTTCAGAGGTATTGATTATGATAAATGGACAATACCTGTTAATCTGCATAATTTTCTAATTGGTAGATTTTCAAGATGTATAAGAAAAAATTCCAGTAGTAGACAGAATTGGGGACAGGACAGTGGCTCTTAGACCAGCTCTCTTAAACTGTACTTTTCACTGCTTCTGCTTTTTAAGGCTTCTTCCCTTCAACTTCTGAATAGACAGAATGTCTGAAAGCTCCAGTTTGCTTTTGTTTACTTTTAATGATGGCTTCTATGGCAACAACTCTTCAGAGCGGTGTTTAGGCATTTACTTGTACACAGGTTGTTTGTACTGTGATAACTGCACAGTGTTACATTTTTTAATTGGTCTTATGACAATTATTCATATTTCTGCATCTATATGAATATATTGTTTGTGTACATTTAATTGACTTTCCTTCCTTGACATTTTAATGCGTATCCGTGTATCTTGACTGAAGTATTATATAAAAAATGTTTTTATTTACAAGAATATGGTTAACATTTTAAATACAGTGAAAAAATATTTCCTCCAAATCTTGTTGGGGAATTGGCTTCAAAACTTTTATCTCAACAAAAAGAGGTTTATAGTAAGGTCAGAATCTTACTAAGATAAAATATCTTAATTTGATCACTTAAGATTTTCTTCTACTTATAGTTTATTCTATAAAAATTGTTATTGTTGTCTTACCTCTCTTTTTTTTAACCAGTCTTTGGGTAAAGAATGTGTGTGGAAAATGATCACCAGGAAATTACTACATTCCACAATTTTTTTTTTTTTTTTTTCTGTCTGTGCCGTGTGGCATGTGGGTTCCTAGTTCCCCAACCAGGGATCAAACCCGTGCTCCCTGCAGTGGAAGCATGGAGTCCTAACCACTGGACCACCAGGGAATTCCCTACAATTTATTTTTAAAAGAGCCTATTGAGTTTTAAAATCTTACTCCGAATTCTTTTCAATGTATATATAGAGTTGAAATCAATGTGAGCACTATTTTGTGATTTACTTTGGCATTATTTCTTACCTGTGTTTTAACCTATCAAATAGTTATGTAGTTGTGATTTAAAAATATACATATAGGGCTTCCCTGGTGGCGCAGTGGTTGGGAGTCCGCCTGCCGATGCAGGGGACGCGGGTTCACACCCCGGTCCGGGAAGATCCCACGTGCCGTGGAGGGCTGGGCCCGTGAGCCATGGCCGCTGAGCCTGCGCGTCCGGAGCCTGTGCTCCGCAACGGAAGAGGCCACAGCAGTGAGAGGCCCGCGTACC